GTCCAAAGAACCCTTGAAGAACCGTTTTTATTACTCCGTAGATAAAGCCGGCGTTCCATGCTCGATCAACCTACAGTTTTACAGTATTATTTTTGTTTGTACATGCTGCTTGAAACTTCTTGAATTCTCTGTTAGCTTGTAAGTGTCTTTGGAGCATAAAACGCTGGACCGAGCTGCTTCCGGATCGGAACGCAACGCAATACAGGGATTCGACGAGCACTGGTTAATTCAGCATTTTGTTTCATTCTACACGCTCCAATTCATCGTGGTTTAAAAGAAGCTAGAAAATATGTGCGTGAACAATGAAACCAAAGTCACAAAATACCACGTGTGAGTCCGTCCATGAGCCACAGTAGATTTATTACCCTGATCACCCTGTGCCATCAGTCCATTCTAAATTTACACTCCGAATGAAATCATGGCTGGTGGTGAAGAACGACTAGAGCAAAGTCAATCCCTCATGCGCAGAAGGCTGCTTACTTAGCACCATTTAAAGGTTTTGTACTGAAGGAACTGAGAGAGAGGCTCAGGTGGTGGACGCCGAGCGTGGCTTCAGGACGGCGCTCTGGAGGAAAGACTTTGTCAGTGGACATTGATAGATGTGGATACGTTAAGATAAGGGCTCTAAGGGACAGAGCTCAGAGAGTACCGGACATCGACCTTCCCTTTCCGACAAATCATCAGATGTGTATCTCTAAAGAGGCATGAAAAAAGCTTGATCTGAGCTATTACATGGCTCATGGGCTTCACTGAGCTGAGGTTTTAATTTTAGGTTACAGGAATTTTGCTTGTTTTTCGCACTCACATCAACATATCCAAAATGGAGCCTGGCTACGGTTAACTCGTTCCAGTTCTCCTGCCGATCTCGTGGAGAACATGCTAAGGAGTTCTGCTGACTCCGCACTCGCTGGCTGTCCAGCGCAGGCAGCTCAGAGTCTCTGGTCCCCGGCTTCCTGGAGTGACGAACTTGGCAGGCCGCAGAGGTAATGAGCTCCAGACTGAAGGAGAGAGCAGCACTTTCTGGCTGCAGAGATGATGATGGTGGTGGTTTTGAGTTTTGGACGCATTATTCTTTCCTTTTAAAAAACTCTCCATAAGACTGGGATTTCACATTGCTTCAAAGCTCAGTGGCAGTGTCTGACCACCAGAACAGCTTCAATGTACCTTGGCATTAATTCCACACTCTACGTCTCTGGAAATGTACAGGAAGGATGAACGCCATTCTTCCCTCCGTTGGTGGTGTCTATATCTCATAGGTGTTCCATCTAGTGAGTGTGAAGGCAACAACATATGATTTACGATCATTTTTTTATCCTCATCAAACGATTCACTAAAGACCTCTTGCCTTGGGAATGTGGGTGGGGTCATCCTGGAAGAGACCACACCCATTAGGATATGAATCTTTCAGCAGTCAGAAGGACTTTGGACTTTATCTGAAGTAAAACGTCTATCATGGTCATTCTACTTGTCAATCAACTGCCAAGGGTGGTAGTATTTGTTATTTTCTCATAAAATAGTGAAGCTGCTGTTGTTGAAAAATGAAACACCTTCTGACCAATCAGAATTGAGAATTCAACAGGGTCGCGTTGTAATGTCTTAACGCATACTATTTCACCATTTGCGTTATTTATAATGAATGAGAATGACATCTGGCACACGCTAAATTGTTGCTAAAGATGAAAAGTCTTCTTCGCTTTGTCCAGCTGCATCTATCTCTATTATTGACCAAAGATTTACGCTTGCATACGATTAGCTTTGATTCAATTATTCAGTCCCTGTTGTTCGGGTTTCATTCTTGAGTAGCATGTAGACCCAATTCATGACGTCTCGTGTTGTCCGGTGTTTAGATGCTTTAATCCATAAAGATCACAAACTGTTCCTTTTTCGCAAACGCCTCGCTCGATACGTAACGAATCCGTAATCAAGGTTGATAGCTTCCTTATCTTGTTAATGGACCTGTTAATAACACTAAAGTGAACACTCTGAAAGACTTGATGTATAACAGGCCTCAGGCTTAATGCATTGAATTTCAATATATACACGCTCTACCTGCCTGTGTGTCCGTCTTTGTGCTGAGCTCTTTCATTTAATCAAGTATCAATTAAAAAGCCAATAGATCAATTAAGCAATTTTATAGCTAATCGTTGGCATGCTAGTTTTTTTATGTTTTTTTTTTTTTTTTTTTTCCGGATTTACTCTTCTAGCAAAGTGACTGCACACATTGTTAATGTGTCCAAAAAAAGAAAAGAGAGGGTTGCACTGCCGCTACTCCCGAATGATTTCCGATGAATTTAGACTAATTCTTAAAGTGGAAACACGCCTCCCCTCCAGTGCTGGCAGTCGCTTTGAAAGCACTCGGGCAGCAACTTTCTTCCAATATCTCCTTATTTGAATCAGCTAAATGGGTATTAGCTGAGCCTCTGTGCCAGAACTCTCAACATAATCACAGTGAAGGTGGTACTTTGGACAAGTTTATTGTGACAGCTGTTTGTGTGTGTGTGTGTGTGTGTGTGTGTGTGTGTGTGTTTCATTTCCATTGCACTGAATGGGTTTGGATGTTTCCTCACGTCTACCAGTCTACGAGAATGTAAACATTGTGGTCAAATTACAAGTGTTGGCAATTACAGGTGCAAATCCGGCGCTTTGAAATGTCAGATGGAATCTTTATCAGGTTTTTTTGCTTCTACCGTGTGAATGTATTATATGTAGTGTGTGTGTGTGTGTGTGTGTGTGTGTGTGTGTGTGTGTGTGTTTGCAGAGCCATACTGTCTTGTATGTTGACTGTGTAACATTTTCCTTTTGTATTTGTGGACTGGCAGAACAGCTACAGCTCAAGTGGTCTCTAATAGCACTTCTTCACCAAACTCTGCAGCTCGCTGTGGATTGGCAATGAATCCGAACCCTGGGCTATCCATATATCCTGGCCTTGGTTGTGTGTGGGTGTGGGTGTGGGTGCATCGCTTTCCCATTACATAACTCTTTCCATGTAAGTAGGAGGAGTTTCTCTGCGGCGACTTGACTTGACAAGCGAGTAGTGAAACACTACTCAGCATTTAAAAAGAATAAATAAATACAGGCCTGTCATCGTTATCATTTTTATGACACCGTTCCTGGAGTGAATTAGTAAGCACGGAACATTTGGTTTTATTATGATGGCAGCATGCCGAAACACGAGGGTGCCAATACTTTTTTTTGTGTGTGTTTTTGTTTTTGGGTGAGAATACAGAGGAGAAAACGTGCGCTTAATAGCTGCCTGTACTCCTGAATAGAGCCACGGGTGCCAATACTTATTAAATCTTCAGTGAGAATACAAAGGCGAAAACTTTCACTTAATGTCTGCCTACACATCCAAACACAGCCAAGGTTGCCAATACTTTTAACAGCTAGTCAATATACATATGACGAAACGTTCACTTAATGGCTGCCCAAACATCCAAAACAGCTAAAAGCTGCCAATACTTTCATATTTACTGAAACTACAGAGATGTTTGTGTACAAAAATTGTGGACTGGATGACATTAAATGAAAATTCAATCTGTTTTACACTATGTAGGGTGCAAATAAAGCGAATAGGAAGTCATTTAAGATTTGCCCTAGAGAATAACTGGATGGATGATTTTTGCTCCATATTGGCACCAACTAGAACGTAGTGTTCTTGGGGGTCTGGGGGGGTTAGGTTACAAGCACTGTTTGTTGTGTAGTGTGTTACGCAACATGCATACAGAACGAGAATCGCAACAGAACAGTTCTCAGAACGGCCTGTCCAATCGTTGCTTTGCTTTGCTACCTTACCGTGTTCACCTGTTCTGTGTTCATCCGTAATTAGTTCGGCTATCTGTTCCTTGTTGTTTCGACCGCTTGTCGCGAAGTCTTGCCGATTGTCATCATGCGTTTGTCTCAGTACGCCCAATTTGTCCGTTCGCTTGTGTTTCCGTTACTGATCACGTATATTCCTCGAGTCTGTCCGGTCACTATGGTTTTTCTTTAATTCACCCCAATACGTTTCCGATTTGTGTTCTGTCTCTCGTCTCGACACGTTGCACTGATCTTAGGACCAAGTATTAGTCATACACACTGCATGGCACAAGGCCACAGGACTAGTACTGGGTTTCCTCAGGAGCCGCCCTCCTGCTACAAGACGTTTAACAAGCTTGCTGTAAAAAAAAAACAACAAAAAAAAACCAACCCAAAAACCACTCGAGGCCTGTTGAGCATATGGGCAAGCATAAAAAAAAGAGAACAGATTTAAAACTTCATTTTTCCAGACACTATAATAGTTGCTTCATATTAAAACCTTGTGCCAGGCAAATGTGTGTGTGTGTGTGTGTAAGTGTGTGCATGTATTTTGCATATGGGCACACTTTATGGGAAGTAGACTCAGTCTTCAGCGGGGTTCATTATGGTCTAGTATTCGCCCAGCACATTTTGTCACTTCCGTGATAACAGCCACAAATGAAATGCCAAGCGCTTTACAGGACTGACGGGCTGCGGCATGGAAAACGGGCAAATTTATTTATTTATTTATTTGTTAAAGATAAGCAGGAAACGTGGGAAAATATTGCTCCTTTTGTTAGAAGTACAACGTTCAGACGTTCATGACGTCGAGTGTTTCCGCGCCACTTTTCCACGTGGAAGACCTCATCGTGTACATTTGTTCCAGACTTGATTTATTTCCAGAACGCAGAATGGCTATGACGTGAAGGTGAAGGGGCACACGTACAGTACATATTTTTACATTTTTGTTCTGATTTGCATTGATAACTTCCCCAGGTTTGGCTTGGCAAGGTAACGTGGACTTTCCCAACAGCTAATATAATATCCTAGCTAGCCACCTAAACCGGCTCTAATGGTGCTCGATAACATGCGAACACTGTGTAAGAAAGCGTCAACTCTACGTAAAAAAACTCTTGTGAAGGCTTCCCGGGTCGACAAACGCAAGGTTACAGTGTTACCTCTGACTGTTACAACAGGCGGACACTAAATAAACATCTCTTCACGGTTCACGGTGGTTTAGTGGTGAGGACGTTTGCCTCGCACCTCCCACAGGGTGGGGGTTCGAATCCTGCCCTGTGTGCCTGGAGTTTGGATGTTCTTCCTATGCTCTGGGGGTTTCCTGAACATACTCCGGTTTCCTCCCCCAGTCCAAAGACATGCGTTGTAGGCTGATTGGCATTTCCAAATGGTCCGAATGTGTGTGATTGTGCCCAGGGATAGGCTCGGGATCCCATGCGACTTATCCTGTGTGGGATAAGTAGTCTGGAAGATGGATGGATGGATGGATGGATGGATGGATGGAAACATCAGGTCTTATTTGACCGATCGTTATCAGTTCTTAGATGTAAATGGAGACTTCTCCGCTGTTGTTACCCAGATGAGGACGGGTTCCCTTCTGAGTCTGGTTCCTCTCAAGGTTTCTTCCTCTTAACATCTTAGGGAGTTTTTCCTCACCACCGCCGTTCTCAATTGGTGTAAATTCACACTTTTAAAATCTGTATACCGTGTTTATATATTTCTGTACAGCTGCTTTGAGACAATGTCTATTGTAAAAAAGTGCTATACAAATACAATTTAATTGAACAGAAAATGCCACTTTATCGACATTTGCATGTTTTTTAATCAGTTTATGTGGAACATCATCGGATGTCTACTGTCAAAGCTTCCAACCAATCAGAATCGAGAATTCAAAAGCATTATGCTCTAAATTGTTTTAAGGGTGACTTCAAGATCGCAAGGTGGAAAACAGGATGAGGCTAAGCGGAAAGTTTTGCTTGATTGTAGTCTAAGTCCAGGTGCAAGTCCCCAAGGCACGTCTGCAGGTTCAGATCATAATATCGAGTGACAGATGAGAGCACAGGTCAAGTGATTTGTGTCTAAAATGTCAGCATGATATAATCCTAACTGAATATGGACTCCTCGTGAACCTTATTTAAACAAAAAAAAAAAAACATCAAATAAAAAAAGGTGTGATTGCTATGGGAAGTGTGATCCTTAAACAATTTATGCATGATTTTAACACCTTTTAGTCTGTAGCTAAGTACATGTATAGCATGCGCTCAAATCCCACTGACTCAAAGCCCCAACAGGAATCATGTCTTAGAGCTCGATTTTGAATGCATAATTAATTATGGAGACAGAACTGCCGTCACTGACCTCGCACACTTCCTACTCGTTCTGCTTTAAACCAAAGCCTGTGACAAATGCCTGCTAGTGCACTTGACAATGAAAAAGCTAAACGGCAAAACCGCAAAGAGCTCGACGAAAACTGGAAGATAAATGATCCGATTTGAGCCGTTTTCGAGGAGCAGAGATCTTGTAAACAGAGAGCGCCGTCTCACAGCAACCAGCCCATGTGTTAGCACCTTGTTGGGTCGACTGCAGCCTGGCAGACAGACTTGTTTTTACAGGGATCAGCACTGAAAGAGCCAGGGTGCTTATTTTAACACCTGCCCTGGAGCTCTGTCTGCTCTCAGCCCCAACTCAACTCAAACCCCCAACGCCCCCCAATTCATCACCACCACCGCCGCCACCGTTGCCGCCCCCAGTGGCCCTCTCTGTCTGGGCCCTGTGCCAAAGGCCTCCGAGGCCTATTCTAGCCACGGCAGGCCCCTACAAATCAACCCCAGAGACGGCAATCAACTGATCTCTGAGCAAAATGCCCCTGCCTCACACAATGCCTTAAATCTTCCACTCATTAAACAGAGCGACGCATCCGAGCAATTAAGCGTGTGCTCTTTGATGTCTGAGTGAGGCATGCATTGCACAGATGCATCAAGCTGCAAAACTTCGCTCACTGATTTTGCGTGGGATCACTAAAGGAAACCAAATTTCCCCCAGTGATAAGGAAGGAACATATTCTCGACTCCGTGTATCTGGTCAGATTGCTTTCTCTCCTCTGTTAAATCATCTGTCCTTCCTCTCTTCTAATCTAAAGTGCTCTGACCGATCTCAGAGACCCAGCTGTACCCAGCAGGAAGAGACTGTCCATCCTGCAAAACTTCAGTGATCTGACAAACCTGGGCAGATGTGCCAAGTGCCTCCTGCTCAAGGGTCACATCAAGCTGTAAGCGATGGCCACAGCTGGTCCATATTTCACTCCTGGTCATCCTAACTTGTGTTCTCTAAGGTCAGGCTCTCGTTTGAGGAGTTATTCATGACCTTTCTGGAGAAAAAGGAAGTGGGGCGGTTGATCGGTGAGTGTGGCGAGAGTTTTTATACTCGAATAAGAATAGAAGTGAGAAAATAACAAGAAGTAAAAAATAGTCACATTTCATATTAGGGTGGTGTTTATAGAGCTACATAACACCTACATACGCCCTTTAGGACAACTGACAATAACAGACGCGACCAACCAGTTGACATAGCGCCTGGTTCAAAGCAAAAAGAATACAATTTCAAATAAGGGTGCTGACCACAGGGCAACATAACACCTAAATAACCCCTTTATGACAGCTGACATAAGCTCATTCAGCCACACTCTTAACATAACACCTGGGTCATGTGACTTTTTTGTTGACATAAAGATGTATCATAAGACGCTCATTAACGATGAAGGAGAACTTCACTCTTAGTGGATAGCACGTTCGCCTCACACCTCTGGGGTCGGGGGTTCGATTCCCACCCCTGCCCTGTGTGTGCGGAGTTCGCATGTTCTCCCCGTGCTGCGAGGGTTTCCTCCGGGTACTCCGGTTTCCTCCCCCAGTCCAAAGACATGCATGGTAGGCTGATCGGCGTGTCTAAAGTGTCCGTAGTGTATGAATGGTTGTGTGAGTGTGTATGTGATTGTGCCCTGTGATGGACTGGCACCCTGTCCAGGGTGTACCCCGCCTTGTGATCGATGCTCCCTGGGATAGACTCCAGGTTCCCCAAGATGGATGGATGGATGGATGGAGAACTTCATTATTTTATGATCTTAAATTCATAGGAAGTGAACATGTGCAGGAAGTTACCTTTTAAGGTTATTGCTCTTGCAGCTTGTAGCCAGATTTATCATTATACCTTTTCTTCAGACTTTCATGTAAAATACAGGGTAATCATTGCTCTTTATAATTTACTCAGCTCTGCCTCATGACCATATGCTATTATGAACAGCTGGTATTTCGCGGCAGAACAACGGGAAAAAAACCCCATAAGAACCTTGCTATACTGCTATCTTTCACTGAAACTGCGGTCATCTGTGTACTTTTAGTACCCAAGGCCAAAGACGCCCTGATCCAGCTGTGCCTTTGGATCCCAGACGAAATACCTGTAAACCGTGTTAAAGCGGTGCTTTTATTGAAACTTCATCTCTATGTCCAGGTCCTACCATTGTTCACAGGGTCTAATTGATTTGCCAGACTTCTTTATTCAAAGAAGCAGAATCCAATCCGAATGCACTGCTGAGCGACTGAAGATTTTACAACCTTGCTCGAGGGTCCGCGAGCGGAGCTGTAGTAGTGCTGGGATTTGAACTCACAGCCTCCCGGTCACAAGTACTAATGTCTTGTAAACCTCAGTTCAAGTAGCAGATGTAGTGCAATTTTATTATTTCTCAAACATAAAACATAACAGTACTTCTATCTCACCGTTGCTCACCAAATCTTGGGGAAAAAAAAGAGATTATTACTATTACTATTACTATTACAACTAAAATGGATAGTTGCACTAATCGACGTATGATTCTGAATGAAAGGTTCTTTGGGTTCGTGAAGTGTTCCTAAACTCCCCAAATGGGAAACCTTATCTCATGGGGTTTCACATGGAGTCTTTAATGGGACAATCCAACTGATGGTTTTCAAAGAATAAAGTAAATGTAAAATGGTAAATGTGCACTTACATAGCGCTTTTATCCAAAGCGCTTTACACTGTGTCTCATTCACCCATTCACACACACACTCACACACCAATGGTAGCAGAGCTGCCATGCAAGGCGCTAGCTTGAAATCGGGAGCAACTTGGGGTTCAGTGTCTTGCCCAAGGACATTTCGGCATGTAGAGCCACCTGTGCCGGCAATTGAACCGCCAACTCTACGATTAGTGGACAACCCGCTCTACCAACTGCACCACAGCCGTCCCGTGGTAAAGTGGTAATGTCCATCCATCCATCCATCCATCCATCTTCTATACCGCTTATCCTTTTCAGGGTCACGGGGAACCTGGATCCTATCCCTGGGAGCATGGGGCACAAGGCGGGGTACACCCTGGACAGGGCGCCAATCCATTGCATGGCACAATCACATACAGACTCACACACCCATTCATACACTACGTACACTTTAGACACGCTAATCAGCCTACCATGCATGTCTTTGGACTGGGGGAGGAAACCCCAGGAGTACCCGGAGGAAACCCCCGCAGCACGGGGAGAACATGTAAACTCCGCACACACAGGGCCATGGTGGGAATCGAACCCCCGACCCCGGAGGTGTGAGGCGAACGTGAGACCGTGCGCCCCAGTGGTAATGTCAAGGTCAGTATTGCAGCATTACAACCATAATTTCCAAGAACTAAGCTATTAAAAAAAGGTTCCTCAGTGGTTCTCATAACAGCTTGGAACTTTCTAATATTAATGGTTCTAGCTTGTTCTCCATGGAACATCTACCTAAAGAGAAACCCTTTAAAGGTTTGACCGTGTTATAGTGCGTAGTGGAAGCTGAAGGTTCTGGGCTTCCACCAGTCACACGTTCAACAGGAAGTTGCATCATATGATAGTCTAGAAGCTCATCGGAAGAAGAAAAGTCTATTTTGTCATTTATTATTTTCTTCATTTGCAATGATGTGGTTCACAAAAACTCACACGTGGTTCTTCCCCCAAACTGCTTCTAAAAAAAAAGTTTGAAGCACACAATTGTATAGAATGTCCTTCTGCGGAATTTCCCCTTCACTGGAACCAACACGCCCACACCTGTTCCGTCATGACAATGCTCTTGTGCACAAAGCCAGCTCCATGAAGTTGGAAGAAAGTAGAAGAACTGGAGTGTCCTGCACAGAACCCTGACCTCAACCCTACTGAACACCTTCGGGATGAACTGGAACTGGAGCCTTCTCACATCAACACCAGCGCCTGACCTCATCCTCACTAATGCTCCTGTAGATGAA